GCCCCGGGCGGGGTGCTGGACCACCCGCCCCGACCGCGTCGGCCCCGACACCGAGCGCGTCTACGACGACGACTTCTTCGAGGCCCTGGACGGCGTCGCCAACGCCCTGGACAACGTCGACGCCCGTGAGCACCCCTGGGGTCCTTGGGGTGCTGGGGGGGGTCCTTGGGGTGCTATAGGGGGTCATTTGGGTGCTCCGGGGGGTTTGGGGGGGCTAGAGAGGGTCTTCAGGGTGGTGTGGGTTGATTTTGGGGTGCTACAGGGCATCTTTTGGGTGCTATAGAGGTGCTATAGGGGGTTTTTTGGGTGCTGTGGGGGGTTTTGGGGTCCTGTAGGGAGTCTTCAGGGTGCTGGGGGGTCCTTGGGGTGCTATAGGTCACCCTTTGGGTGCTTTTGGGGTGCTATAGGGTTTTTTTTGGGTGCTCTGGGGGTTTGGGGAAGTTTTAGGAACATTATAGGTACCTCCAGGGGTGCTATAGGGATCCCAGGAAAGCTATAGGTATCCCTAGGGGCGCTATAGGGTCACTTAGGAATGGTATAGGCACCCCAGGGCTGCTATAGGGATGCTTTGGGGACTCCCAGGGGTGCTATAGAGATGCTATGGATACCCTAGGGGTGCTATAGGGACCCCTTAGGGATGCTCTAGAGATGCTCTAAGTACCCCCAGAAATGCTATAGGTACTTGCAGGGATGGTATAGGCACTCTCAGGTGTTCTATATGGCCTTGAGTAATACTATAAGGACCCCCGGAGTGCTATAAGGGTCTCTGGGGGTGCTATAAGGAGCTCAGGCAGGGTATAGGTACCTTTGGGGGTGCTAAGAGATGCTGTAGGTACCCTTAGAAACATATAGGTACCCCCAGAAACGCTATAGGTACTTGCAGGGATGCTATAGGGACCTTGAGATGTGATATAGGGACTTCAGGTGTGCTATAGGGCCCTTCAGGTGTGCTATAGGGACTTTGAGGTGTGCTATAGGGCCCTTCAGGTGTGCTATAGGGCCCTTGAGGTGTGACATAGGGCCCTTGAGGTGTGCTATAGGGCCCTTCAGG